GTAACTGAATATTAATTTTATGTCTCATTACTTTAATAAATCCTCTTATTACTAATATTAGTTTTTTTATTGATTCATTTGGTTTCATCTGGCACATACCCTTTAATTTGCAAAATAACTTAGTTTTGACTCTCCCTTTCAAGTGTTAAGTCCTTTAATTGCTTTATTTTGTCTAACTGCATTGGCTAATCTTTTTAAAAAATTTATTGACTTTATTGGGGTGACATTGGTTAATAAAATTACATAGGTTTCAAGAGTACAATTCTATAATACATGATCTATATATTATACTAGAGGCCCAGTGCACGACATTTGTACACTTGGGGGGCGGTCAGGGGCAGGGGGAAGTCCCCTCAGCCTGGCCTGCGGCCTTTAGCAGTCAGGGAGCCCTCAGGGGATGTCCGACTGACAGCTTTAGCCTCTCCTGTCACCGCTTCTGCGCTTGCCAGCCATCAGCCCAGCTTGTGGCTGAGAGGCATTCCTCCTGTGGGAGCCCACTGATGACCAGGGCGCAGCTCCTGCATGGAACGTCTTCCCCCTGGTGGTCAGTGTGCATCATAGCGACTGGTTGTTCCACTGTTTGGTCGATTTGCATATTACCCTTTTATTATATAGGATTGTGTGCTTACCACCCAAAGTCTTCATTCATCATCATTTATCAACCTTTACCCTCTTCTAACCCCCCTCCTTTTCTCTGATAATCATCATACTGTTGTCTGTGCCTATGAATTTTTGTGTTTTTTTGCTTAATCCTTTCACTGTTTTTACCTTAGTCTTCCAACCTCCCTACCCTCTGACAGCTGTCAGTTTGTTCTCTGTATCTATGAGTCTGTTTCTATTTTGTTTGTTTATTTTGTTCATTAGATTCCACATATAAGTGAAATCATATGGTACTTGGCTTATTTCACTTAGTATAATATTATCCAGGTCCATCCATGCTGTCATAAAGGGTAAGATATCCTTCTTTTTTACAGCTGAGTAGTATTCTACTGTGTAACTGTACGACAGCTGTTTATTTTAATCTCTCCCGAAGATATGTTTATTGATTTTAGAGAGAGAGGGAGGGAGAGAGAAAAACATTAATGTGAAAGAGAAACATTGACTGGTTGCCTCTCATACATGTCCCAACTGGGGATCAAACCCACAACCCAGGTATGTTCCCTGACTAGGAATCGAACCCACAACCTTTCAGTGGAGAGGAGGATGCTTCAAACAACTGAGCCACACTGGCCAGGGCCGTACCACACCTGTTTTATCCACTTATCCACTTGGGCTGCTTCCAAATCTGGGCTTTTCTCCACATCCTCGCTAAAGATTGTTGTTTGTTGATTTATTGATGATAGCCATTCTGACAGGTGAGGTGATATCTCTTTGTGGTTTCAATTTTCATTTCTCCGATGATTAGTGACGTTGAGCATCTTTTCATATGTCTATTGACCATCTGTATATCCTCTTTGGAGAAGTGTCTATTTTATATTCAGAAGTAAACAAGGTAAGTGGTCACCATAGTTACAATGTTCTTGTGAGCTTCACTTGTTTTGGCAGCACTTGCTGCACTTCCCACAGTCCATTAACTACCCAGATAGGATTTGGGAGAGAGAGAGAGAGATAGAAACACCAATGATGAGAGAGAACCATTTATCAGCTGCTTCCTGCAGGCCCCACACTGGGGATCAAGCCTGCAACCCCGGGCATGTGCCCTGTCCGGGAATCGAACTGTGATCTCCTGGTTCATAAGTTGATGCTCAACCACTGAGCCACGCCAGTCGGGTTCTGCCCATTTTTTAAATTATTATTATTTTTTGGTATTTTGGTGTTGAGTTCTTTATAACTTTTATATATTAATATCTCATAGAAGGTATCATTGGGAAATATGTTATCCTATACAGTGGGTTGTCTTTTCATTGTGTTGATGGTTTCCTTTGCTGTGCAAAAACTTTTTAGTTTGATGTAGTTTATTTTTTTCTTTTGTTTCTCTTGGTGAAGTAAATATATCTTTGTTAGGAGAAATGTTCGAGATTTTACTGCCGATGTTTTCTTCTAGGATTTTTATGTTTTCAAGTCTTATATTTAAGTCTTTAATTCATTTTGAGTTTATTCTTGTACATGGTGTAAAAAGGTGGTCTAGTTTCTTCTTCTTTTTTACGTATCTGTCCAATTTCCCCAATACCACTTAATGAATATACCATTTTTACCCCATTGTATCTTCTTGCCTCCTTTGTCAAATATTAATTGACCATAAAAGCATGGGTTTACTTCTGGGCGTTCTGTTTTGTTCCATTGATCTACATTTCTGTTTTCATGCCAGTACCATGCTGTTTTTATTAATATGGCCTTGTAGTATAATTTGATATCAGGTATCAGGATTCCTCCAACTTTGTTTTTCTTTCTCAAGACTTCTGTGCCTACTCAGGGTCTTTTGTGGTTCCATATCCTTTTTTTGGGATATTTGTCCTAGTTCTGTAAAATACACTATGGGTATCTTGATAGGAATTGCATTGAATCTATAGATTGCTTTGGGTAGTATGGACATGTTAGTCTTCTAATATATTAATTAGCTGTAGAGATACTGAACATCATTGTCTTATCCCTTATTTTAGCATGAAACCTAGTATTTCCCCATTGAGTAAATACTGGCTTTTGAGACTAAACTATAGATCATTTTATTATGTTAAATACACATTTATCAATTCCACTTTTGTTTTTTATATGACTGGATGTTAAATCTTGTCAAATGACTCCTTGTTTTCTATGGACATAATCATCTGACTTTTCTAAGTTATTATAATTTATATTTTTTACACTGAACCAATCTTGTATCCCTAAAATAAGACTCACTTGGCAATGATGTGTGGTATATTGCATCATCTGGCCCCAATTCTTCACCTTTCCTTTTGTCTACATCCTTTGACCTATCATTTTTCAATGTATTGCCATTATAGGTGGGGTGACCTGTCCAGCCTGCTACCTCTAGCATTGGCCATATAACTTGCTTTGACCACTGTGGTGTTAGCAAACTTAATGTAAGCAGAGTTTGATGTACAATGAGCTTGGATCTTGCTCTCTTTGCTTCTGCCATTGCCACGAGTAAGATATATCTAAGCTAGTCCATTGGTCCAAGGAGAAGATAAGCTTGCAGAGCAGAGCTGGGTCACTCTACTCAAGGCCAGCCTAAACCAACCAAACTCTAGCTATCCACTAGATGTATGAATGAGTCTGCTCTGGCTGAGTTTAGCAGAACTGCCCAGGTGAGCACTTGTAAAACTGTGCCAGGCCGGCAGAGCCAAGGGTTCAGTGAGCCTGAGGAGGGGCGGCGAAGGATTCAAGAAAAGGCAGACAAAGAGAATAAGCTGGGTCTAGGGTGGATCTCCTGTGTCTGGCTGAGGCTACAGAGAGAGAGAGAGAGAGAGAGAGAGAGAGAGAGAGATCCAGACTGCAAGCTGATGCTTTATTTTATATTCAGAGGTAAACAAGGTAGTGGTCACCAGAGTTACAATGTTCTTGTGAGCTTCACTTGTTTTGGCAGCACTTGCTGCACCTCCCACAGTCCATTAACTACCCACCAAGGATCTAGGGAGTGTTATAAGGTCAAGCTTAATTATGCTAAGAGGGCTATGCCCTCTAAGCTGGGACTTGTTTGTGGCTCTGTCAACAGGTCAGTCGGAGGCTTAACCCTATAGTCACTCCGAGGCTTAACCCTATAGTCACTCCCTACATAAAACATTTGAATTCTTCAGGCACAGAAAATAATTGCTTATTATTATTATTTTTAAAATGTATTTTTATTGATTTCAGAAAGGAAGGGAGAGGGAGAGAGAGTGAATCATTGATTGGCTGCCTCCTGCACACTCCCAACTAGGGATCGGGCCCACAACTCGGGCACGTGCCCTTGACCAGAAGCGAACCTGGGACCCTTCAGTCCGCAGGCTGACACTCTATCCATTGAGGCAAACCAGCTAGGGCTCATTGCTTATTATTTTAAGCCACTGAGTTTTGCAATGATTTTTTTACTCAACAAAGATTACTGATCAATTATATATCATCCTTTAATCTGCTATTGGCTGATATTTTGTTAAATATTTTTAAATTGGTTTTTATAAGTGCTAGAGTATGCCCCACAAGCCCAGAGACAGAGTAATTGGCCAATACTCTGCCAAGTGCCCATCCTGATATACTTGGCTTTGGCCATGAGAGCAAGATAAGATGACCAGAAACATGGCAATCAAAGTGTATGTGGACACAAGTAGGTGTGATTGGCATAGTTTCCCAAAATAGTGGCAGACACTAAGCCTCTCATATGTGGTACACTGACTATTGCTTTCACAGAAGACAGAATTTTCTAATTTCACATTGACTTTTTCAAGCTCCTGCTTAATACAAACCCTTCCCAGTCCTCACCAAATACCTCTTTTACTGTCCTCCCAAATATTTCTAAAATCTCCTGTGATTTCTTGTCCCAATTTCTATCCAGTCGCTTTCCCCTGATCTTCCTTCAGAAGCTCTACCAGAAAAATACTTTGTTCCCTTTGCCAAAAATGTTAGAACTCTGACTTTAGAACAGGGGTCCTCAAACTTTTTAAACAGGGGGCCAGTTCACTGTCCCGTTGGAGGGCCGGACTATAGTTTAAAAAAAAGCTATGAACAAATTCCTATGCACACTGCACATATCTTATTTTGAAGTAAAAAAACAAAACAAAACAAAACGGTAACCAATACAATATTTGTATTTGCATGTGGCCTGCGGGCCGTAGTTTGAGGACCCCTGGGTTAGAACTTAGGGGCAAGTAAAGATTGCCAGGAGCTATCAGGTGGTGAAGACAGTGGAATCCAACCAGAAAGGAGAGATGGGATTCCTGTTACTGGAAACACTGACACAGGAAACATAGTGGTTCCCTAGGTAGATCGACTGGCTTAAGAGGAAAGAGTGGGGTCTGGGGTTTGAGAAAACGTAAGATAATGTTGCCATCGGATAGGGGAAGGGCCAAGTTTACTGAGAGATGTGGTTTCAAACTTCATTATTTTATTTTTTAACGATTCTGTCTACGTCATGTGACACATATTCCCTTGTAATGTCTGGTATATCATTAGGGTCATTGCACCTGTCATCATCTGTACAGCAATATGTTTCCCTCAGGAGGTCATGGAATACCTGGAACATTCCCTCTTCACAAGTTTCACATGATAGTGTTGTGTAACGATACAGGTATCTCCCTAAAGAGAAGAAAAGCAAACATGATCACCTTGCTTCCTCTCGCTATCTTCCTAGCAATGACGTCTCTCCAGAACCTTGTCCGTTTTCTGTAGGTAGTCTGGAATGAATCCAGGGCTATGTCTGCATCTCATCTATGTCTCTTTAAACAGAATCAGCCAAAGACATCTGCCTCCCACACAGTCTTCACCCCAAGTCTGTGTATGGCGAATCCCACTCTCCCCATCCTCTCCCGGTCTCCAGCCATACCTTGACTCCAAGAACTGTGGGCCTTACTGGTAATATTTTGTGTCCCTCTCTAACCCTCACTTACCTGTAAGGCGATCATAAAAGTAAAAGTGATCTGTGCGACAACTCCTGTTTTGAAACGGTGTATGAATCTTCCAGCAATTTTTCATTTCTCGGTTGCAGTTCTGGCCGTCAAAAATTTCACAGTCATTGCAAAATCGAACCCCTAAAGAAAGATAGTAAAGCTTTAAAGCAGAGTTCCAGGGAAAGTGTTTCTACTTCAGAATCTCTCCGACCTATAAACATTTTTATTGAGGTGTGCAAACCTCACAAAAATAAGTTGAAAGCCTTCCCAACATCTGCCAAGGGTCCTTACTCTTTTGAGTAGGGAACAGTTATGACTCTTCATGGAGTCAAGGATATCACCCCTACCCAAGGCTGGGGCAGAAAGAAGACACGAGAGCAGTGAGTGAGAAGAGTGGGGTCAGGGAGGGCAGAGAGACAATGTGTCAAGAACTCAAGTAGGTCCCCTCTTGCTGCAACATTATTTATCCAAGGATGGCAAACCATACATTTTGTGGTCAGGACTCTGTCTCCTGTGAAGAGAAGAAGAAAAGTTCTCCATGAACCATTCTATAGCATCCCCAAGAGTCAAGTTTAGAAACCCCTTCCTTCTTTCCCATACATTCTCTCCCACCCCTCATTGCCTCCCTCACCAGGACTCACCCTCATCCATGAAGAGCACTATGAATACACCCAGCAGAAGCACTTGGAAAATCCAGGAACCCATTCCTGAGAAGTGCCCAGTGGGAGGTTGCAGCTTTATTTATTTCCATCACCTGCCCTTAGGCATCCCACTAGAGTCACAGAATCATAAATTTCAGATCAAACCACCTGAGTCCTCTCTAATGTTCCCAGGAGAGGGTACACACTGTCTGTGTTTGCATTCCCCCACCCAGACACCACATTTCATTTTTATTAGATCCATCATAAGATAGTAATGAACGCTGGTGTAGAATCTCTCTCCCTTGCACCTCTTCACTCCAGGGGTATGTCTGTTTGTTGGACCATGTCTCACTTCACAGGCCATGTCTCACGTCACATCTAGGTGACGTCCTTCCAGATATAACAAAGCTGGGGTCACCGTGCATCAGTGGGTTGCTCGGTCCCTTTCAGGTGCCATAACCACCAGCGGTACTACACCCCTCACAAAGGAGGTCACCAAATCAGAGCCCAAGTTATGGTCTGACCTCCCAGTGTAGCACCATCTCTGAGGATGGATGAGACAGCCCAGGAAAATGGGGTGGTGGGAAGGGATGATCTCAACCTCAAGTTTGTTCATTACTTTTTTCCAAGGGAGACAAAGACCATAAGTCATTGCAGTGGGAGAGACTTTCACTGAGCGTTATGGGAAGAAAGAGAAGGAAGTATTTAGATTAGTCACTAGAAAGGGGGTACAGAGGGAAAGGAGGCAGGGCTGGAAATGAGCCGTTCATCAGTTCCCCGCCTTTACCTTGCTTCCTCCGGGTGGTGCAATATATTTGTGCCATCCATCTTTCATCGAGTAAGTGTTAACTCACCAGGGAAGCTCTTCTCATATATATACACTTTCCATGTTTGCTTTTTCTCCAGAGTACTTAACCCAGTTTTCGTTCTATAGCTTTTCCTTATGGATGTTTATTGTGTCTCTCTCCCCTCATAAGGAGGAAAGCTATACGAAGGCAAGAGTTTCACATGTTGTGTTCACAGCTCTCTCCTCAGCACTAGAGTAATGCCTCGCACAGATCGGCTAATCAAAAGTATTTGATGAAAAAATGAGTGGCTTGGTTAGTATGGTCAACCTGAGAGACACCAGAGGCACAAGGGAATGGTGCCGCTATACTGACAGCCCCTAACTCTAAGTTTGCAGGATGACATTCCTGGCCTCCACCTGGAGGTTAGTAGTCACTGTGGGGAAGACAGGCAGCGGTGCTGGCAGATTTCCCTGTCTTGGGGAGAGAGTGAGTTTAGAGCCAGTTATCTGAGTGGGTTCATTCAGAGACATGCCACACACACGTGTGATGCCTCACATAATCTTCACTGTACACCGGGGGCTACCTCCCTGCTGTGACGGCAAACAAGTTCCTCTAGGTACTCACAAGGACTCGCAGAGGTCTATCTGATATGGTCGTTGGGACTTCAAAAACTCACACACGGGCCATGGCAAACATTAAGACCCTAGTTGACTGTTGGGGTCCTGCCCCAGCAGGTCCAGGGGTTCCCAAAGGTGTGGACGGAGTCGGCGAAGAATGATTCTTCCCTGCAGCGACTGTGTCAAGCAGCAAGGATGGACCGGCTTCTGGCACTTGACATCAAACATCTTTGGGCATGTTATGCCCTTGTTCTCTTTGGATTCTCTGAACAACCTCATAGGTAGAAATAACTGACCTTGTCTTAGAGTTGAAGACCAGGGGTGCTTAGAGTGAAAGTACTTTCCCCCAGGGAACAAGGCTTACATCGGTCTGATTCAGTGGCCGCCATCTTTGCCCCACGTCTCACTCACAATCTGGAGAAGGGTCCCCAGGGCTGGAACTCTAGAGCAGCTCCACCCTGAATCGTCAGATGATAATAGGAAGAGAGGAAGGAAAAGCCAAAGGTCATCTCCACTGAAAGAAAAAATCTCCCTCTGCCTGGGAGGGGCCACATTCATGAACAAAGCTCCCATGGATACCGGGGGGCCTCACAGCCTGGCTGACGCGCCACTGCCTGGAGGGAATTCCCAGGGGGACCACCTCTGGGAGGCTTCCCTTTGGAATGTGTGAGACGTAGGCAGCAACCTTGGATATCAGTCCCAGAGGGTTTGCGCTCAGAGCATCAGCTTATGCCTCCAGGCCAAGGACCCTTGGGTCTGGGAAGATGCTGCTGCACCTTGACCAGGGCAACTGATAATGAAAATCTGGGCCTGGAACTCAATCTCCATACAAGCCAGGTCTCTCTCCTGTGTTTGCCCTGGTAGCTTTGACCAACTTTATTCTCTGAATGAAAGTAACAGAAATTTTGGAAATAAATCAAATTTATTAAGAAATAAATAAAATTCCCTTTATGCCCTCAAATCTGAGGGAAACAATGTGAACATTTTTCCCTATCTCTGTACAGGATTATTTCTATACACATGTCAGACGTTCATGTTAACAAACGCTACCACAGTTGACATCATACAGGCTGGGGCAAAAGTAGGTTTACAGATGTTCATATGGAAAGTAATACAGTAATTAATAATAATCCAAGAATAAACTCTGTTTTGCGTACTCACAACTGTAAGCCTACTTTTGCCCATCCCTGTATATGTGCTATTCTGATTTTTTATTGTGGAATTTTCGCCCTTATCACTGTCCCTCCTGATCCCTCCTAGAATGTGAAGCCCAGAATTGAGAGGAGGTTCAGGAGCTGGTCCCCAAGTCACCCCTTTAAAATGGTCGCTACCTGAACCTACCTTCCAGATTCAGCCAGAAGCCTCAGCTGGCTTCTTAGTTTTCCAACACCTGTTACCCCAGGATCGTAGTGTGGGCCACAGACAGACCTCGGACACCTGGGGCCATCTCTGTCTCCCACGGTACAGGAACATGTGCTGGCCACCTGTTCTTTCCTCCCACCTCTGTACCTGAGCCCCCAGAAGTAGGTTCCCAGGCCTCTTCCCCTGGGGCCAGAGTCTGCATCTTCTCCCCTCCAGCCCTGGCTCCGTCCCAAGGACCTGCTGCTCTTTTCTAGATGGGGGCTGTAGTACATCTCGTCCTGCCCAGAGGCACAAACCTGTAACCCATCCCTTCTTGCGACAGGAGGAGGGCAATGGATTTGAGGCCAAATGAGGCTCCTTTGTAGTCAGTCTAAAGTTGGGTTTCTGGCCCTGACCGGTTTGGCTCAGTGGATAGAGCATCGGCCTGCGGAATGAAGGGTCCCAGGTTCGATTCCGGTCAAAGTTTCCTGCATTCAAAGGTATCCTCTTCAACCACAGGGAGTGTGCAGGAGGCAGCTTATCGATGTTTCTCTCTCATCGATGTTTCTAGCTCTCTATCCCTCTCCCTTCCTCTCTGTAAAAAATCAATAAAATATATTTAAGAGGCTCATTTGTAGTCAGTCCAAGTTGGGTTTCTGTTTCCCCTGAAGGCGGACAGTGTAAGGGCATGAGATACAGGGAACAGTAAAATGAAAACAAAAATATTCCCAAAGAAAGTTTCCTGCATTCAAAGGTATCCTCTTCAACCACTTCTGCAAACCATGAGCACAACCCCTGGCCCTACGCAGCGGGGAGGGGGCCTGAGAGGGGACTCATCTGGTCCAGCTGAGTCACTGAGAAGACGGAGACTCCCTCTGGGACTGGGCTCTCTGAGAGCCCCATCCCCCAGGAGAAAGGCAGTGTGTGGTGTGAGGACGGTCATGTTTCTTCCCCACGGCATCTAATCTGCCTCACACCCACGCCTGCAGGAGAAACGGGGCTAGCCAACAAGTTCTGACACTCAGACCCAAGCTCCCTCTAGCAGCCTGGATCACACCCAGAACACTGCCCTGGGTGCCTGAGCCTCACCCCAGAAACCCTGACCCACCCTCTCCTCCTCCATGTCCAGCCCACTTCAGCCTCCTGACCGAGCCCTGTTCACCCTCCTTGAACTGCACTCCAAACCTTCTAGCCTCGGGCAGCCCTGAAGGCACCATGTTACCAAATGTGTAAGATACAGGAGTCGGGCACGGAAGCATCGCAGCCCCATGTCTTGACTTTGTGTATGAGAAGCCAGACTGAATCAAAATGTCACCACACTGAAAGGATGTAGGGAGAGTCTAATCAGGTCTCGGAGACCATGTCCACAGGTGGGAGAAGTACGGGATGTGCATTTGGGGTCAGACATGGATTCCGAGTCACCACTTTTCATTAGCTCACCTCCTACCACCTGCCGACTGTAGGAGCTTAACTCGTTTCACATGGAAAAAAGGGATCCATTGTGGGAAGGCTGGGACTAACAACAACTAACTTCTTCACAAGGATTCCTCCAAAGATTTTCTTCAGGACACCATCTCCCGAGGCTTTTCCCAGACTGAGTCTCAGCCTAAGGGGGACAGGGCTCGGAAGCCATTTCCTCATGCCCCGGGCCATCACCCGGCTCCGGCCTTACAGTCCGGAGCTCTAATACTAACCCACCGCACTGAGGAGTGATGAGTACAGGGTGGGAGGCTCTTGCAAGACACCCCCAAGCAGCAGTTCTCAACCAATATCCGTGACTGCAGTCAAGTGGATGCTCTTCACATGCCCTTCCTACTACAGGCTGCTGGGACATGGGCTAGTCACGCTGGAGAAGAGGCACTGGAGGTTACACTGCTCCCTAGCTGCAGCCTCTGCCTGTTCTCGCCCACCCAAGAAAACCCACAAACAACGCCCATGAGGTTTCAACATTGGCCTCAAGTTTACACAAATTTGCTTTGAAAGTGCAGCGGGAAGAATGCAGGCTGGCACCAGCGAACATGACACTGTGGGATCCATTGTGTCTCTTTCCCCAGCCAAGACTGAGCTTGGTGGGTGCTCACCAGGGCCACCCAATTAAAAAGCTGTGCGGTGGGGCTGAGTTGAGAACAGGAAACGCTTTGTTTTTCTTGTTTTCCATGAAAGCGAGAATAAATGTTGGAAACTTCAGCCATCAGGAGCCACTCTCTGAGAAGGTCACACACAGGGCCAGGGAGGGCAGTGGGCATGGGATGAGGAAGAACTTGGCAGTGGGGGTGGGATGTAGGAGTGCCCTGATAATGGTTAACGGCTGGCAGGGCTTGGATTCAGCGTGTGTGGGAGTGGGCAGGAAGGTCAAGAACAGTGTCTTCTACAGTGACTTTTGAAGATGGAGGCTCAGGTTCAGAACAGATTGGTTTCTCAGATGAGTGAGCAGCAAGCGAGTTAAGTGAGCTCTGATTCACTGAAAGAGGGTTAGAGCTGTTGCTCTGCAAACGACGGAGGCAATAGTCAAGGGATTGTACTATATAACCCCAAAAGCAACTCGACTGAACTGTTAGGGCAGTGGTTCTCAACCTTCCTAATGCTGTGACCCTTTAATACAGTTCCTCATGTTGTGGTGACCCCCAACCATAAAATTATTTTCGTTGCTACTTCATAACTGTAATTTTGCTACTGTTATGAATCGTAATGTAAATATCTGATATGCAGGATGTATTTTCATTGTTACAAATTGAACAGAATTAAAGCATAGTGATTAATCACAAAAACAATATGTAATTATATATGTGTTTTCCAATGGTCTTAGGCGACTCCTGTGAAAGGGTCGTTCGACCCCCAAAGGGGTCGCAACCCACAGGTTGAGAACCGCTGTTAGGGGATGTTCTCCCTATAGGTCTTCCTCCATCTCCATTTTACCAAATGCGTAAAATACAGGAGGAGCTGGGCACAGAGGCAACATAACCCAATGTCTTTACTTTGTGTAGAAGAGACAAGATTGCATGAAAATGTCACCACAATGTAAAGGTCCCTTGTCTTAGGGGCTTTCTGGAAATCTGAGTGACTCTCTAGCTGCCCAACTCCTAGGCCCAAGTAGTTTTCTAGGAGAAGGCATAAAGGGGCTGGTTCAGAATTATTAGAAAAGACGCTATTCCTAGACCAAGCCTGAAGGCTGAGTCACTTCTACCACCCCACCCTGCCACCTTACACTGTACTTTGCTTTCCCGAAGGCCTGACCTGGAGTTCTCGCATATCTTCCTATCTTGGGAAAAACAAAAAGTCAATTCTTCAAGTCTTTCCACAGTGAGTGAAGGAGAGAGAGCATCGAAGTCGCAGCACTGTTTACAAAGGGACTCAGCTCTGAAGTGCTGTGATTACGGCATTTGAAATGGTGCCCGGTGCACCAGGCATCCCTCCTGGGCCTCACTTGGTGGTGCTATTGCAACCTCTGTGTTGTCTTCCTGCCTGCAGTTTCTTGACCTTTCCGTCTAATTAATAACATGCCTCTGCCCCACTGAAACCAAGGTGCAGCAAGGGTGAGGTTAATGACAGTGTCTTCTCTGCTTACCCGCAGCCAAAGGAAAAGACCTTTTATTACAGACAAACACATCCTGCCCTAGATCACAGAGGCCATTTGAGATGCAAAACCGGGCCCATATCAGACATGGAGAAACTGTTAAGGGCCTGATTGAAGATCTGACACAGAGGCATATCCCTCTCCGCACCGTGACTGATCAGAGCCAAAGCGCAAAGTTTGTGATGTTGAAAGAAAAGGCTGGACCCAACTACAACGTTGAATTTGCTACCAGCTCTTGGTGGTTTAAATGATCCAAGAATCATTACTCATCACATAATGTGAGTGAGGAGTCTGCAGTTGCGATGTAAAGGCAGCTGAGGAATTTTGGGAAACTCTGGGTAAGTTTGATTAGAGAAGGAAATTACTTGCCAGCGAAAATATTTAGTATGGATGAAACCTCCCTATTCTAGAAATGAATTGCCTGAAAGGACTTTCATCCACATGGAGGCCACGTCAATGCCAGGTTTCAAGGCTTTTAAGGACAGGATAGGATTCTTGCTTGGGGGCAATGTTGCAGGCTACAAATGGAAACCTTTGTGATCTGGCACCGTGAGAACCCCAGGCCTTCAAGCATATCAATAAGTACACACTGCAAGTGTACTATAGGAGCAGTAAAAAGTAATGGAGCCTGGCCAGTGTTGCTCAGTGGTTGAGTGTTGACCTATGAACCAGGAGGTCACGGTTCAATTCCCGGTCAGGGCACATGCCTAGGTTTTGGGCTCGATTCCCAGTAGGGGTTGTGCAGGAGTCACCAATCAATGATTCTCTCTCATCGATGTTTCTATTTCTCTGTTCCCTCTCCCTTCCTCTCTGAAATCAATAAAAGTATATATATTTTAAAAAGCCATGGATGTCTCAGCTTCTCTTCAGATGCCCTCCTGAATTGTTATGCTAGTGAAATGGAGGAATACTGTTCCAAGAATAACATATCTTTCCTGATTTTATTGCTGATAATGCTTCCAAATATCTGGAAATAGAAGCCCTCCTAACTTTCTATCCGTTATTTTCTTGCGATGGGAAGGTGAAATGGGGTGAAAAATGACTATAACAAAAAATTATCAAATGGGCTTTAAGAGTTTATAACATCTTTCTGCTTATAATACTGGAAATATGACTTGTCTTTTATTTATTTTTTATAGGAGAAAATATTAAAGGTAATAATTGCTGACATTACCAACTTATCTAAGATCTTCAGTGAGTTTAGTAAAATTACTGAAATGGATTATTGTGTTTTTTTAAAAAAAAGATTTTTTATTGATTTTAAAGGAGAGTGGGGAAAGGAGAGGGAGAGAGAGCGAGAAACATCGATGTGAGAGCAAAACATAGATTGGCTGCCTCCTGCATGCCCCCAACCGGGAATGGAGCCCACAACCAAGGCATGTGCCCAGACTGGGAACTGAACCAACCAATCAAGCCACACCAGCCAGGGTTGTATTTTCAATATCTGTAATTTAAGTTAGCGGGAAGGAGGAAAAGACATATTGGAAACATCAATAGATAAACATCACCAACATTTTTATCTAAAGAAATATGCAGAATCAAATTGTCTGGAGAGACCATTTGAGTGATACCATCTGGAACATGGTCTGGCTTTATTACGGAGGGGAGGGAAAATATTTGCAACCTTTTAATTTTGGAATGTCTAGGATCACAAAGTACCAAAACGAACACCAGATAGTAATTAAAAAATAGTGATCATTCAAGTTTGGTGAAATGAAATCTCTTATTTTCAAATAAAATTGTTTTCCCTTATTTCCTTGTTAGCCACAAGCTAACATGGTAAAGGTGTGGTTTGAAGATGTCAGTTATTAACTTTTTTAAAGAAAATATTAAAATTCCATTTCAATCGAGTATGCATGTTAAACGTTCCTTTCTGTGGTCTATCATTGCCAAAGATGCTTGTTGATGCAGAAATCTGCACTTTTACTTTTTAGTCATTGAAAATCACTGAAGACTTTTACTCAGGGGAGTGAATGAACAGATTGTTTTAGGGAAAAAAACAACCACCTCCGGGAGCAGTAGAAAGGAAAAACTTAGGGATAAGGGTGCTGAAGGGATGGAAGACAGCTGAGGAAAAAGAAGTGTACACGTGACCGTGAGATGGAAAGAGCAGAAGACATTCTAAATGACTGATATCTTTTTTTTAATGAGATGTAAGAGATAATTGGAGAATAACTGTGAGATTTCAAAGTTGGGCATCAGGGTATGAGTTAGAAAAGCAGAGAGAAAAGGCATTGGATGTACCTGCAAAATATTCCAGGAGATGTCCTATGGGACAATGCAAATTGCAAAAGAGCAGTCAGGTACATGACTTCGCAGAAGTGTGACTGACATGACGTGGCATTTGATGCTTATAGAGAAGGGACTTGGACCCTGTCCCACACTGCTGGTAAGTTTCATACAATCATGCTTGAGAGCAATCTGGCCACAAACATCAAAATCCTTAAAAGGAGCAAACTCATTATACCAGGAATCATACTTCAGGGAATGTATAGTAGAAAAGTAATGGTGAATGGTTCCAGAGAATGAACTAATATCATTAACTTAGCTTGTTTATAGTAGCAAAATAATAGAAAATTACCAAATGTCCAGAAACAGGAAACCAATAAACTAAGATCCTGCCCGGAGCGTTGTGCTCAGTGGTTAGAGCGCCGGCGTATGCCCTGAAGGGGCGCCGGTTCGATTCCCGGTCCAGGGCCTGCATCTGGGGTGTGGGATCGCTCCCCACTCCGGATCGGGATGTGTGCAGGAGGCAACCAGTGATATATTCTCTCTCTCTCTCTCTCTCTCTCTCTCAAAAGCAATGGGAAAAAAAATCCTCTGGTGAGGATAAACAACAACAACAAAAACTAAGATCTTTACATATTGGAACACTTTGCTACTATTTAAAATAATGTTATAAAAATTATTCCAATATATGGGATGTGCCCTGAGACGAAGGGAGAGTAAGAGGTAACAGGGCCGCGGAAAGGCCTCCGCGCGCGTCCGAGCCTTCACACAGAGCCCGCGTGGCAGACTCGGTGGACGGGCTGAGCGCGGAGGCGGGATCGGGGTCACGACTCCGCGTCGAGAACCCACCTGCCGCCCCCGACCCCGCAGAGCCGGGAGGGGTAAGACTGATTCCATGAGGTGGACGGGGCGCTGAGACCGCCGCAGACAGGGGTTTGAGCGTCCTCCCCTCCGCGTCCCGTCGGCCTGGCGACGAAGAGACGGTTCAGCGCTCGCGCTCAAACACCGCGGGACTCGGACGCGTCCCCATCAGGCGCAGAATCCCGAACTTCTTCCCGCCCGAGGGGAGGGACAAGAAAAACCATCAACCAATCAGAATATAGAAGTGAAAGGCGTTTACCCTCCGGACCAATAGAAGCGCTGAAAGGCGGGGCCGAGGGCGCCGGTTGGTTCTAGTGATTTAAACCTCGGCGTCCGGCGGTTGGGGCGTGCGCCGTGCGTGAGCAGGAAGTGCGCCTGCGCAGGCTGCGGGACGCCAACTGACACCTGCGGAGCTGAGGACCCGGGTGGCGAGCGGACCTCGGCTGGGCGGGTAAGCGGGACGGGATGGGAGAGGTGGAGTGGTGCCCGGAGGGCTGCCCGGCTGCTGGGGAGAGGTCGGGGCTGAGTACGCGGAGTTGACTTCCCGGCCCGGGTACCGATGCCCTGGCGCGCAGTCCGGAGCCCGGACGTACCGTCTGCCCGAGTTCGCAGCTTTCTTAGATGCTCGTTGCGGCGACGCAATGGACCCTCGGCAGCCGGAGCCCCCCGATATCACGGTGGTCGGGGTTCAGCGAGGTGGACGGGCCAGGGGTCGGGGGCCGGGCGCAGCGAGGGAGCCGGCCTACCCCGAAGCGTCACAAACAAACGACACCCAGCGTGGGCCAGGTGGTGGCGACTCGGTCTCTCTGTAAACTTGAGTGTAAAAGGCTGCTCACCCCCTCGTCACCCCTTTTTTGAACCAATAGGTGTCGCCCTGGGAGAAGCTTTTTCCCAGATGTATTAGGATCTGAAATCCAACCCTACAGCCCTACCCTAAAATGAAAATAAACCTTCCCTCCGCTCCTGATGATACAAATTTCACAATCTCATTGTTTTCATAAGTAAATCAAGCAATATTAGGTTCGTATAAAGAAGAGTAGAAGAAGATACTCGAAATTCCATCAGCCAAAAACAAAACAAAAAGCCTCACCTTTGGTTTATTGCAAATGTATTCATTATGAATATATCTTTACGTGGCTATACTTATACAAGTATTTTTATGTAACTGCATATTTTGAATATAGTAAAGCATATTCACTTAAAAAGCAGATTGCGCCTTAGTAATGTTTTAGGAGCACATGTCCGTCAAATGTAGACATGCATTATCCCCTGTGATGCATGCGTGGTAATTCGCGTGCATTATGTAACCGAATATTAAATAACCAGTCCTGAAATGATGGACATGTGCTTTTTCAGTCTCTTCATCGTCATAGGATGGCATGATTATTCGTACGTATACTTGTTTGCATCCTTATCCCGTTTGTGGCCTTACAATAATTCCCAGAAGTGGATGATAGCTTAGAAATTATGGTGCAATTTAAGTTCGGATTCATAATGTCACATTTGCCCTCTAGAAACATTGATATACCCCTCCCACTCCACCCACACACATACAGAGGGAGAGGTTGCTTTTTTCTCTGTACACTGACCAGCACTGGGTACTGAAAAATTTTCTAGAAGGATGTCTTTTAATGCTTTTATTTGCATTATTAATGAGACTAGAGGCCCAGTGCTAGAATTCGTGCACGTGTGGGGCCCATCCAGCTGGGCTGGGTGGAAGGGGGGAGCATGGTAGGTTGGCCGCCGGCCCTGCCCCTGATTGGGGGGGGGGGTCCCATCTGGGGCTGGGACAGTGGCGGGGAGGGGCCGGGGAGGTTGGGGGGGCGCCAATCAGGGCCCAGATTGGGCTGGTTGGCTGCCACAGTGCGCGTTATAGCCACTGGTTGTTCCAGTCGTTCTGTCTTCTGGCCGCTTGGCTTTTATATATATAGATTAAACATCTTTTTCTATGTTTATTATTTTTTTGGTAAATCATTTATCTTATTTTGCTGGTGTATATACCTTTTTATTTATTAGCTTTCTAGAGGAATTTAAGTGAGCAATTTTGAACCTGGTACAAATATTTTCCCCAGTTTGTTGTCTCTTTGAATTACAGTTCTTTTTTAGATTATTTTTTTGTTTTGTTTCGTTCTAATTTTGTGGTACATAAAGCTTCATGCTTACCTTCCCCAAAGGTAGAGGAATTTGATTTAACTCTGCAGTAGCCTCCCTGTAATAGTTAATACTGACCCAATGTACCCCATCCACCCTTGGAATCCTTTCTCTTGACATTAGCTAAACCTGGGACACCAAATTGCTTAAGATTTTTGAAGAGACGATACCCTGGGGTATTCTGGTTAATACTGTCTGTCATTCTTGTCCTGGCCTATGCTTTCTCTGCTCGCCTGTGCTCAGCTGTAACAGGGGAGTCTGGCAGGACACACAGCAACCTCCTCTCAGTTTAGGAGGGCTGTCCTGAGTATAGGACTGCCCTTAAAGGCACGAGAGGACAATTTAAGATGAAGAAAAAAATATATAGTCTGTAATTTTTCAAAATATAAGGTGTTCTGGCCTCTATATAAGTTTCCTTATAAGAAAAAAGATTATCAGGTCTTTATATTACAAAGAGTTTCTCTTTGATATAAAGAACTGACAGTTACCTGTGGGCCCTCCTAAAGTTTGATTTTATTATTTGCAAATACCTACCCTCATATGTTCAAAAGGAATGGGAGTGTGGTATAATTAAAATGCAAATAAGATAACATGTTAGTCACATGTTAGTCAGCAGTGATTTTCAACTGCTGTGCCACAGCACACTGGTGTGCCACAAGAATTTTTAAAACATGCAATACTTGTTTCCTCAGGGGCACTGACCTCTTTTCTCTTAGATTGTAAAAAATAAAAAAATGACAACAGCCAACACAATAGCAGTCCAGTGCGAATGAATAAAAATTATACCTATTTTTTTCAGATCAGCAAAAAATATATTTTTTGGTGTGCCGCAGAATTTTAGTAGTTAATATGTGCCAGGAGATGAAAAAGGTTGAAAATCACTGCTGTATAGTATAGCACACAAAACAATCTCTTTGGCCCTGACCGGTTTGGCTCAGTGGATAGAGCGTTGGCCTGCGGACTGAAGGGTCCCAGGTTCGATTCCGGTCAGGGGTATGTATCTTGGTTTCGGGCACGTCCCCAGGAGGGGGTGTGCAGGAGGCAGCTGATGGATGTTTCTCTCTCATCAGTGTTTCTGACTCTCTATCCCTCTCCCTTCCTCTCTGTAAAAAAAATCAATAAAATATATTTATTAAAAAAACCCAACAATCTCTTTGGCTTTAGTGTTGGAACTCCTCCTCACCCAGTTTCCTATTCCATTTCTGTCCCTGCTTTATTCTCTGCTTATCTTTTTAGTAGGTAGGTTTGTATTGCATAAACATTGAAATGGTGTACTTCTCACAAAGCTCCATTTTGTTTATTTATTGACATATAAAATCTCATTTAAAGTTCAAAACCTATTGAAATAATTCCTTCCATCTTGTAGTGAAGAAAGTAAAATCTAAGCCCTACTTGACTTCTAACATTTATTTCCCTACCATGGGTCAGAGACTTTGAATTTATGCAAACATTTCCTCATATAACTGAAGTAATTCTGCAAAGTTACAGTTTGGGATTTCTCTCTTGCGTCTATGATGATTGTCTTGAGTTTTTTCCCTATGGTAACCACCTAAAATAATGTCACTAAAAGCTATTCTAGACTTGATAGAGTATCACCTACTGGAAATGATTCACTTAAGACCTAAGACCTTGATCCTCTACTCTTTGCTTCTATAGACTCTCGCAAACATGACATTTTATTTACTGCTTTCTGTCCCATGTATAATTTCTTTAGAGTTGATTTTTAAAAATAAGGAGTAATTTCTTTTTCTTTTTGGTTTTTGTTAATCTTTACCTGAGTGTATTTTTTCCCATTGATTTTTAGAGAGAGTGTAAGGGGGTGGGGAGAGAGAAGCATTGATTTGTTGTTTCACTTACTTATGCATTCTTTGGTTGATTCTTGTATGTGTCCTGACAGGCGTTCAAACCTGCAACCTTGGTGTATTGGGATAACACTCTAACCAACTGAGCTATGGGCCAGGGTTCTTTCTTTCCAATTGCAATTGATGTTCAATATTATTTTACATTTGTTTCAGGTGTACAGCATATTGGTTAGGCAATTATAATTTACAACGTGATCCCCCTGATAATTCTAGTGCCCTCCTGGTACCATCCATAGTTATTACAATGTTATGGACCATATTCCCTATCATCCCCGCGACTGTTTTGTAGCTTCTTAGCCCCTTCACCTTTTTCACCCCGTTCTCCCACCCCCTTCCCATCTGGCAACCCTTAGTTTGTTCTCTGCATCTATGAATCTGTTTTCTGTTATGTTGTGTTCTTTAGATTCTATATAAAAGTGACATCATATGGTATTTGTCTCTCTGTTTAACTTATTTCACTTGCAAGTGGTAAGATTTCATTCTTTTTTATGGCCGAGTAATATTCCATTGTCTGTAGTTTTTTTTAATCCACTATTGATGGGTACTTGCGTGGCTTCCGAATTTTGGTTATTGTAAGAAACTCTGCATATATCTTTTCCAATTAGTGTTTTGGATTTCTTTGGATATATTCCCAGAAGTGGAAATACTGGGTTATGAAGTAGTTCTATTTTTAACTTTTTAAAGATCATCCAGTTTTCCATAGTAACTATAACAATTTGCAATCCCATCAACAATACAAGTTGACACATACTTCACTTTCTTATACTATTTAAATTCTAAACCTGGGACTCAGTGAAGTCTAATATGTCTGTAGCCTGCCCACTACTAAGTTTGTGCACTTACACAGCATGTTTACTATTTATGTTAGTATTGTTTCTAATTGTCCCATATGTTAGTTATGTTTTAGCTACCAGCTTGAGGATATAGAGCATATTTTTATACCTGGAGCTTTCAACATAGGTAGGAACATGCTATTTGTTGGTTGGTAAATAAAACGTTGGATCGCATATAGTATAATCATAATTGTGGATAAGTAATACACTCTGCAATGATGAAACTTGTTATACTGAGGCAGAAGGTCTGAGTTCATTTACTTGATGTTTATTATCTTTTTTGTTAATTCTCTGAGGATATTTTTTCCCATTGCTTTTCAGAGAGAGGGAGGGTGGAAGAGGAGAGGGAGAGAGAGAGAAACACTGATGTGAAAGAGACATTGGACGGGGTTGGGGGGGGGCAGGAAAAAACCCACAACCCAGGTACGTGCCCCATGACTCTGGTTTGTGGGCTGATGGTCTAACCCAGTGATGGCGAACCTTTTGAGCTTGGTGTGTCAGCATTTTGAAAAATCCTAACTTAACTCTGGTGCCGTGTCACATATAGAAATTTTTTTATCTTTGCAACCATAGTAAAACAAAGACTTATATTTTTGATATTTATTTTATATATTTAAATGCCATTTAACAAAGAAAAATCAACCAAAAAAATGAGTTCGCGTGTCACCTCTGACACGCGTGTCATAGGTTTGCCATCGCTGGTCTAACCACTGAGCAAGGAGGAGGAAGAGAGATAGAAACATCAATGAAAGAGAAACATCATCGATCGGCTGCCTCTTGGGGATCAAGTTCGCAACCCAGGCATGTGCCCTGACCGGGAATCGAACCCGTAACTACCTCGTTCATGGATCAATGCTCAACCACTGAGCCACACCAGCCCAGCTCAACTCCTTATTTTTGTTGTTGTTAATCTTCACCAGAGAATATTTTTTCCATTGATTTTTAGAGTGGGGGGGGGAGGGGAGAAACACTTTTGAATAAATATTGGTGTTTATAAGAAATATTTTGAGGGTTAATTATCAACTTAGAGAACAAGCAAAACCCTGCCTCATTTTCACGTCCAAGTGTGTGTTAGATGTGCTTTACATCTGAATGCTGGGAGTTCTGGCGGCCTCCCTACTTGTGAACCTCACAGTCATTCACCCAAAGTCCTTTTGCTTCTCTTTTCTTAATCTCAAATTAATGTTCTTCTCTCTGTACCCCTTACTACAAATCTAATCTAGGCCATCAATTTCCTTGATTACTCCAACAGCCTCCTAATTGGTCCTACTGTCTTGCCCTCTTCCAGTCCACAGTATACACAGAGCAATATTTGTGCTACACAATTCTGGCTTTTTAATTCCTCCCCACCCCCACCCCAGTGGTTCCTCAAGATAAAAATCTAAGCATTTTTAGGAAGGCCTACAAGGCTCTGTGGATAGGACCCTTGCTTACCTTTCTAAACTATGCAAATGTTGTCATTTAACTCTGCTCCCATCTGTTCTACACAATTCAGCTTGGAGATCTCCATCAGAGCTTTCCTTAAATCTCTAGGCCAGGGGTTGGTAAACTGCATGGCCTGTTTTCTTTATGGCCTGTGGGCTAACAATGTTTTTTTATATGTGTAAAATATTTAAAAAAAAATACATACAACAAAGACCATTTGTGGCTCAGACAGCATTAAACTGATAAGCTTTGTAAGAGATGTGGTGCCTCATTGAGTTAGGTCACTGTCAGGTAGTATTGTGCCTGGCAGTGCACACTGCACCAATTTATCAAATACTTGACTAAATTTTATTTTTTTAATTTGTCCTAGAAAACAAGACAGCCGGGCATGCTCTTCATGCTAATTCAGATGGGTAGTGAATATCTCATTTGCTTTAAAAAAGGATAGACACTTGCAGGATCAGGTTTAATAAATTTGAACATGAGGCACAGGTTTCCAGGTGTATGTAAATACATCTTTATTTTCCATCTGCTTTTTGCTTCTTCCATCTCTTAATCCTTTTGGACCAGAATGAATGTTTGATTCCCAGTTGAAGCTTGAACATCCTTAAATAGAGCGTATGGTCTTTTTGGTTTTGTTCTTTTAAGAGCTGATCATCAGAACTCTAGGACTTATTGCAGTAAATATTGTATTTCCTCTTTACCCACCTACCATTAGCTAGTTGTTGCCTCCTAGGTCCTGGAGAGTTTTCTGTGGTTAAAGGATGCTTTTAATTTCTGTATCAACACAGACTCTCTTTGTTGGTTTCTCTGACATAGTATTTTCTCCTTCTAGTGTGTCATTACACTCCCTTTTGGCTTTTGTTTCTGTCTCATTGAGTAAACGTGGGTATTCAATGCGTCCCCTACGTACGCAGTGCTGGATCCGGGATTCCAGTCCTTGGCATTTAGGGCGATCCATTAGGGGCTTATATGTGCGCATTTTCACTCCTTCTACAAAGGCACTGGTCTGCTTTATGACACAGGGCTTAACATTTCTCCATTCTATTACTTCATCCGTCTCTGTTCCTATAATATGTACAATCAGTCATTACATGAATACTTTACCACAATAGAATCACCTCCAAACTTTATATAAATCTACCTCCCCATAACCATGTATAATTTTGGTACTGATAATTTTACCCGTTGATTTCCCTATCATACCTGTCTCACAGGGCACAGCAACAGACTCGAGTCCTTGTAGCATACTATACAACACGTGAGTCTTAACAGCTTGATTAGCCCACTGTTGTTGTAGGTAGGTTATATTGAACTCCTGAACCTCCTGGTCATAGAGCCACTTGATATTTTCAAACTTACAGTCATACAAGACTAGAGGAAATTCAACAGCCATACTAGAGAGGAGACAAAACAACATGAGAATACATAGCAGCCATCCAACAGTTCTTGAAAAACAAGCTTAGTTGGGTTAAAAGGAGGGGGAAAACTTTGTCAATATTAAGTATCTAATAGTTAAGAAAATACAGCACTACCCCTAACCTTTCACAACATTCTAACTAAAAAACAAACAAACAACAAACCTTGGGGCAACTGCTTGGTCTATACTGGGGTACATTTCAATGGTAACAAGTCACCTACAAGTGAGTTCACTTGGCTCCACCATATGCCTATAAAATTTAAAACAGCTGGTGGTATTTTTCCAAACTAGTCAATTCTGCATAGTATGAAGAAACTTAAACATTTCACTGCTTAGGAATGAGTTATTGGTCTGTCTGACCTCAGCCTGTTCTCAAAAGGAAAGTTAGCTCTTTTTCCTACTTTTCCTACCATTTCAGAAACTGAAAATTAGGAAAAATCCCAGAGTAGTAGTATGATTACTCTATAATACAAAACAAGCAAGATTTAAATATGAATAGTTTGAATGCTTACTGTTTAACTTTAGCAGAACCTAACAATACTTCTTAACATAAATTCAGTGGGGGTGGGGGAATGTAGAAATGAAAGTGCTTTTATTTAAGAGGCCTGGTCCAAACACCTATTTCTTATTCCTGGGATAGGAGTGTAACAGGAGAAAATTCAAAGATACCACTCCCTCTTACATGTTCATAACATTTTACAAGTTAGACTAAAAACTTCATGAAGAAAGACTCACTGACTTAGTTATTCAGACAATTGTGGGAATAGAAACAAACATTAGAATATATTTCAAAATAATCTAAAAGCAATGGCTGTTTTTTAATATATATTTATACTTAAATTTACCTGTATTGAGGTTTCTGGGGATTTTTCTCTATGTTTAGCAGCTCATCGATAATCTCTGGCTTCTCCATTCCTTGGCCAATCAGAAAAAGGATAGCCATCATACAGCGGACTTGATGATAAAGGAACGCCTGGCCAGTCACTTCAAACTGACATAACTGAAAAGGTTCTTGCCATCTGTCCTCAGCCAGACTCTGGCCCACTAGCTGTACTTGAGCAGACAGAATAGTCCTCTGAAAATTAATCACCCCATTGGCTACATCCATTTTACATAAGTTCCTAAAATCATGTGTGCCTACATACTTCTGAGCTGCACAGTTCATGGTTACAATGTCTAAATCAGCACGAGGGAAAAAGTAGCGGTAAGTCCGCTCAAGACAACTGAACCTAGCACTGAAGCTGGGCTCTACAGGGGCCCAGGCCAATACACGGATGTCTGGAGGGAGCACCCGATTGAGAATGTGAGTGTAACGGATCTCTTTGGCATCATCGTTGACTTCATCTTTTAAATTAAAATCCTCTGAATCCCTGCCCTTCGGAAAGTGAGAACGAAGGTCAAGAGAAATCACCTGTGGAATTAGAGAAAGATAATTTGTTAGAGATACAAATAAAGAGTCCTCAGTATGTACACCTAGAATATATTGGTATTGCTTGCTTTGAGAAACAGCTTAGTGGTCCATACCTGTCCAAAGGCACTAACTCCTTTGTCTGTTCGCCCACACCGGTGATACTTGGATGTCTGTCTGCTTTCTACTAGTCGAGTCTTCGTTAGAGCCTCAAACAGTTTCTCCTCAATAGTGTTGCTTGTGTTTTCCTGACTGGCAAAGCCCTGGTATCCCCAGCCCAGATAGGCTATCTTTAGGGCTACATGTCTTTGACCATGAGCACTGAAGTCAAATGCACGCTTAGCTTTTCTAGCTCCTGAAGAATTTTCTCTAGCATTTGAGTCCTTTGTGTTGGCCTGTTCTTTTTTAAGTCTTTCTATCTCCTGCTCTAGTTCTTGTACTCTTTTTAGGAGTTTGTCAGTCTGGGTTCTGTCTGTGTCATTTTCAGCCATGATAAGACAACTCCAGGAATAAATGAATCATAAGGGTCCGCACTACCTGAAAAAAGAGTAAAAAGGATACAGTTTTAGTGTTGGTTCCTTTGATCATGTCAGTAGCTTTCAATTATGTTCAAATAGAATCTAAGAGTTAATTTAATGCCTTAAGTAGACTTTTGCTTTGCCCAGGGATACAAGATTACCTTAATTATTAGGGCTGACCATCCACAGATGATATTCTTTTTCATCTGTGTAGCCAATTTAAAGGGGAAAAGGATAGTAACATAAATGTTTGGCTAGCATTGTTAAGGTTTCAGTCGTCAGAATTTAAGGAAAATGACTGTAAATTTCATATCTCTATTCTGTAGCTGAGATGATTAGGGACTGTTGTTACTGATATTTTCCCCCTAAAACATTTCCTTTTGACTTCTCATTACATGTGTTGAATCTTTCCCATCAACATCTGTTGATATGGCCCTGGTGGTGTGGCTCAGTTGGTTGGAATATCATTCTGTACACCAAAAATGTGGCAGGTTTGATTCCTAGTCAGGGCACATATCCAGGTTGTGGGTTCGATCTCTGGTCATGGCACATGTGGAAGGTAACCGATCAATGTTCTCTTTCTTGCCCTTCCTCTCTTTAAAAGTTTTTAAAAAGAGAGATCTTTTGATATGGAATATATGTCTACTGTGAGTGTCTATTGCTTTCCAGTATCAGATAAACTAGTAGCTTACATGTCCTGTCATCTAATACGAATTTCTGTCTTAAAGGTGGTACAATAGAAGCTAGCCTGATTGAAGAAATTTGTCAATGATTGTACTTTATATTGGAAGTAGAACCTGGAGTCAAGATTTTCCCACTTTAAACCATTTTGATGGCAGAAAGAAGGTAATTAAGCATCGTGATCCTTTTTTAAAGTCAAATTTAATGCATGTTCTGAAAAAAAATTATCTGAGGACAACTATACTACATCCTTAAAAATGGTACTAGATAATCTATGACTGATGGCTATTTTAGGTAATAGAAGATCATCTACACATCTGTACTAAGGCTGACCATGTAATTTAAGTCTGGGTAGCTCGTTTTGTTTTTTGTCCTTTGAGTTTCTATATCTATGATAGATTAAAAGTTTACATTTAAAACATATAACTATAAAAGTGCTAGAGGAGAACATGAAATAACTTTGTTAAAATCTTAAGAGTGGGAAAGGGCATTTGTGCTTGCACAAGTATGTAAAAATTTGTAAGATACACATTGTAACATTCATTTTTTAACAACAAAAGACTGTAAGCCTACAATAAATCAATCATGGACTAGCTGAAAAATTACAGTACATCCATACATTGGAATTCTATGCAACGTACTAGCTGTGTAATCTTGGGCTAAGGTATTTCATCTCTCTGACTCTGTGAAAAGATAATCAGAGTACCTACCCGGTTATGAGGATTGCATGAATGAATACTAGTATAAAGCACACAGAACAGTGTTGGATACATGAAGTGTCCTTCTCAGTACAAGTTACATAATGGTCATTAAGCCCAATGCCCTACATCATGTAATCTTAAGCTTTTCTTATGCTAAAACTCACCTGTCCTGTCCTGTGAGCTACTAAAGGTGGCAAGGGCTAGCAGGCAGTAGGAAGTAGGAGTGAATAAGAAGAGGGTGGAAATGAAAGCAGGATTCTCCAGCCCAGCTGGTGTGGCTCAGTGGTTGAGCGTCATCCTATGAACCAGGAGGTTAGGGTTTGATTCCCGGTCAGGCACAAACTGGGGTTGTGGGCTTCATCTGATCCCCAGTAGGGGGCCTGTAAGAGCAGTCGACCGAACATCTCTCATCATTGATGTTTCTCTCTTTCCCTTACTCTCTGAAATCAATAAAAATGTATTAAAAAAACACACAAGAGACCAATATTTGAATGTTTTAAAAAATAAAGCAGGATTCTCCAGAACTCAGTTAATGCTCCTGCAAACTGTTCCCATACTATCTTGTACTAATCTGTAATATTTAACTATTACAGTTATGATTGCCTTAGCTATTTTTCATTTCACTGACAAAAAAGGAGTGAACAGTTTGTGAGACAGAAATTTATTATTAGAAAACTGATCAGTGTTTTCTCTTGCAGAAGGCCCTCCAATGTGAGGGAAGCAATGGAGGAACTCATGGGACCTAGTGGACAAAACTGGGCCAATATGGATCCAGAAGAACAAATGTTAGCGGCTGCTACAGCTTTCACCCAGATTTGTGCAGGGCAGGGTGAGGGAGATGTCAGGAGAGAAGCCTGGCCTACCCAATATGATCCTTACAGCAAAGCTTCAGGAACCCAATATCCCTACAGCAAAGCTTCAGGAACCCAATACGATCCCTACAGCAAAGCTTCAATAACCCCAGGAAAGCAACATGCTTTTCCCATGCAACTGCAGTACCCACATGCGAAAAGTAACGTCACCTCAGAAACAGTCTCAGAGGCCTCCCAGAGACTCCGCAAGCCAGTGATGAAGAGAAAGGTGCTGCGTAGGAAGCCCGATGGGGAAGTATTAGTGACAGATGAGTCCATTATCAGTGAATCAGAGTCTGGTACAGAAATTGATATGGATCTGTGGGCTTTAAGACAAAGGTTGATGAACCTTCAGTTCCCGAAAGACGGCGAGTCCCCTGTTGATACTTCAGAAAAACTTAATCTACCACATGAATACCAAGATCAGCTCAGTGGCTATCTGCAAAGAGAAGGAATGGGCCCTCCAGCTTATGAACAAGACCTGATAGTTGCCAGCCGACCAAAGTCCTTTATTCTCCCAAGGCTGGACCAGTTAAGCCGAAACCGGGGCAAGATAGACCGGGTAGCCCGCTATTTTGAGTACAAACGAGACTGGGACTCAATGCGATTACCTGGTGAAGACCATAGGAAGGAATTACGCTGGGGTGTCCGAGAGCAGATGCTTTGTCGAGCAGAACCCCAGTCCAAGCCTCAGCACATATATGTTCCGAACAATTATCTAGTACCAACTGAAAAGAAAAGATCTGCCCTTTGTTGGGGTATTCGCTGTGACCTTGCAAATGGTGTCATGCCCAGGAAGCTTCCCTTCCCTCTTTCTCCGTCTTAAGTCTTTTTTTTTAACCTCTCACAGGATTGTTTGGGATAACATGGCATTTTATATCTTTTATTTAAATAGAAACAACTAGAAAGACCATGGTACATTATCGAGTCAGGACTTCACCCATCATTGGTTTTTCCTAGGAATATATCACACTGGTATCAGGTGCCACTTAACTGCCAAATTACCACTCTCAAACCCAGCAATGCAAGAGAAGTCACACCAGAGGAAGAAAACACCTGGTCTCTACTGTCAGATTAGTAAGCAAAGTCAGCTAACACTGTTTCTGCTCTATATTCTCTTTACCTTTGACCAGCGTGAGTTGCTGTTTTTAATAGTGTGTTTTTAAAGCTGCTGGGCATTAAGCTTATCCATTAAAGAATTTTGGAAATTTGTGGACTTGACCTCATTTTTACTTAAATACTTGCCAAAGTAAGATGGTCTCAAACCTGGGTTATGAGTTTGCTTCCAGTTGTACTCCCCATCATACTCTCATCGCCTAAACAATGCGAGCCAGAGGGAAGGAACAAAACCTGCCCTTCACACACAAACCTAAAGGAAAGAAGAAAGGAACAGCACAGCTATCCTCTATTAGGAAATCCAGAGAGCTGTGTTAAATATCTTTTTAATAGGTGCTCAACAGCCGCACTATTTGACATACAGAATTCTAGCGCAAGCTTTGTTTCAAAATTATTGAAATGTTTTGCCCGAACTGTTATAAGGTGCCACTGAGGTTGTCTTAGAAATATGCCTGTCACTTGATGGCTATTCCCACTCTGCAACAGAACTTCAAACTGCTAACATCTGGAACTAGATGCAGACAAAAAAAGTGAATCTGACCTATTTGGGTACAAACCAAAACACTAATTCTGCTCGCTTAAATTGGATCTTCTTGTTCTTGACTCTAATCCAGGGGTGGGCAAACTTTTTGACTGAGGGCCACAATGAGTTCTTAAACTGGACCGGAGGGCCGGAACAAAAGCATGGATGGAGTGTTTGTGTGAACTAATATAAATTCAAAGTAAACATCATTACATAAAAGGGTACGGTCTTTTTTTTTTTTTTTTTTTAGTTTTATTCATTTCAAACGGGTCTGGCCCGTGGGCCGTAGTTTGCCCACGGCTGCAATCCAATGAGGAACATCTACAAACTGAAGATTGTCTATTTTAACATAAGACAAGAGTAGTGATAGCAGAAATAGTTTGCTAGTTAAAAGAAAAACAGCTATGTGACAAAAATGAATAACCTTGACCTATCTGCTAAAATACATTTTCTCCTTAATGTTTAAGCTACACCATTCATTCACTCAGTTCCACCTCTAGGCATTTGTCAGCAAAATAATCAGTGACTCAAAGACATGTACTGCAAGTAAGTAAAAACTGCAAGCCACAATGGAGAGGTTATTGAGTAGAACATTAGTCAATGAGAATCATGGGAAGCTAATGGGAAATGCAAATTAAGTGAAAAATTATGCAGTAGAATCTCAGTCTTACACTTTCCCTCCTGTTCCCTCCATCTCCCCCCCAACAGACACACAGCACAAGGAAAGATTAAAACCTAACACTGGGTAGTGAGATTAAAGGTAGTTTTTATTTTCTTTAAATCTATATATTTTTAAGAGTTAAAAGCCACATATTTTTATATGCAAATTACAGCAAAATGCTCAAATGATTTACCTTTATATATCTCAAAGCCCAAATCGGAAAGTTTTCGAAGTGATTATCTAGTTCAACCCTTTATTTAACCAAAGAACCAGTCCAAAGGGTGTAAGGGTGGAGTAATGAGATTTGTGGCTAGAGGAGGAGGAGAGCCCCAGTCGCCTGAGTCAGTACAGTGCCTTGTCCCTTCTCTGGGTGAAGTACATTTCCCAAGCGGACACCTAACACCGGGAGGGGGGCTGCCAAATGACCACACACAGGTATTCGTGCGTGCGCCACGCATTGCCAGTAAGCACTAAAGCAGTCATTGTGTTGAACTTTTTTAAAGTTAAAAAGATTTTAATCTCGCCGAAACCGGTTTGGCTCAGTGGATAGAGCATCGGCCTGCGGACTGAAAGGTCCCAGGTTCGATTCCGGTCAAGGGCATGTACCTGGGTTGCGGGCACATCCCCAGTAGGAGATGTGCAGGAGGCAGCTGATCGATGTTTCTCTCTCATCGATGTTTCTAGCTCTCTATCTCTCTCCCTTCCTCTCTGTAAAAAATCAATAAAATATTTTTAAAAAAAAAGATTTTAATCTCGAAAATATTAGTAACTAGTGGAGTAGTAGAAAGGGCATTCTCATGATGAATTTAACTCTAAATCAACGAGGGAAGGAGGGGATAATACCCACAGGATCAGAAAACCGGAACCTCTGATCACTAATACCGGAGAGCAATCCCCCACACGACCCGAAAAATGTCGCCATGCCTTCCTCCCACCCCACAACCTACCGGGATCCCGCCCAGTACCAGCATTTTGTTTTATGAGCAAACAACTCTCACCGAGGCAGCAGAGGCTTCACTCCACAGTCCAAGGACCCTCTAAGAATCGAATTCAAGTAACAGCTCCTCCTGTGGCGAGTTTCCGCGAGGAGCTCCAAGAAGCACTGAACACACACACAGGTCCCACTCCCGTAAACCGGCACTTTCCTGGAAAGATCGAGGTATGAAAAGGGAGCGGGGAAGAGAGAAACGTCTAACTACTTGTCCATTCGTCCGTTCCTCTTCTGTAGGACCCAGAAAAAAACCCACCCCCCAAGCCCCACGTTTACATTCCGATCGTGGGCCAAGAGGCTTTTCGCGAGACAGGAAGCTGTCAATTTGCGTTTCCCGGGCGCGCTCGGGGGCTCATGGGAGTTGTAGTCCAGCTTTGTGGGAAATGTAGTTCTAAGAGCTGGGGTGCAAGCTTGACGTGGAAACCAGCCTAGTGTTTCCCAGTCTGACCACCGTTTCTCCACCTCAGGTCTGGCATAGTACAAAGACAAAGAGACAAACTGTAGTGCGCTAAAATAATAGATCAGTAACCAAAGGTCTGCCACCTTTATACGAAAACAAAGAACCTGGCTCTGGCTCAATTATATACCTATTTAAATTCGTAGAAAGTTACCACTGCGAGACAAAACAAGAGGAAAAACAAACAGACAAAAAAAAGTTTACTACTAGAACCCAATGTAAGAGCTGAACAGGATTTAACAGCTGGGAATCTGGCTTCAGCACCACGGAGAGAGTATAACTAGAGTTTTGTAGGTTTTTCCAGAGACTGATCCAAATCTCAAGATTCCAGTTAGAAGGGGAAAAAAAGGAAAAAATCTGGTTCTTTTGTCAAAGTCCAGCAGTCAGTAGAAGGATTATATCCCAGATTATGCGGTGCCGGGAGGAGGTGGTGGCTGTACCACGAGGGACAGGTTTCCCAGGGCTCACATCAGAATTAGAATTACAATGAACATAAGCCGGTCTGTGCAGGCATCACAGGCATCTAGGAGCAGAGGCGGAAGTTAGGACCTGAAGGGCTTTCCTTCCCCTCTGCATCCACCGCGCTGGACTTCAGTTGTCAGATGAAACGTACCCTTTTTGACCATCCATTTTCCCAGCAGTTCGCAGCCTTTTCGACTTCTTGTCACCTAGAAGCGGAAATCTGGGGGGGGGGGGGGGGGGGGGGGCGGAAACCGGGGGGGTGGTTTGGAAGTCTGTTCGGCGGAGAGTGCCAGGCTTACCCACTTGAAAATAGACCCGGGCGCAGAAAAATCTGGGAGAGACGGAAGAGCCCCCACCTCTCATTAAGAATTGTGATCCGCTCAAAATCCAGAGTAGGTGAGACTATTCCAGGCGAGGCGAGAGGGCGTGTTCGCACTCGAGAGTGCCCCTCGCTCGTTCTTGACCTTGGTGTGGTGGGGAGGCGTGCCATGTAGACGCGCGTGTGAGATCTATCTCCCCGGGGGCTCCTCTCCACTTTAGCCAGCTCATCCATGGAAAGAGACACTCTGGGCAGTGACCTCACCTCTGGCTCTTTCTGAAGCCCAAGCTGCCTATCTCTCAGGAATTGGTCTGAGG